GTTCCACCTATCCACCCCTTCACTCTCGCTATCGAATCGAGGTCACGGCCATCAGAGGCACGTCGACGCGGTGAATCCACATTGTTGCCTAAGTTTCCATGGCGTCTCGCAGTCGCTGACACCTCTAAACAAACACTTGAATAGCCCTTGGATAACAGATTCAAGGGCACAAGGCCAGCCACTGTGCCTAGAAGAGCTAGGCTCCTGGCTGAGTGTCAGCATGTGCGCATGGATTCGGTGGCTTTGCCACGCATCCAGTCCAAGATCTTCTAGGCAACTGCCTATGCTTCACTTGGCATCTAGAGCTGACGGAACTGCCTGCTGCTTCAACATGCGCATCTAGAGATAGCGGACACGTTGGATTCTGAGTACGGGACATGATGGATCCCAAAAAAAGCTGACTATTGCTTGAGCCAGACTCGGCGAGGAGGTCAGCCTGGGACGAAATCAAAAATCCTGCACCTCATGGTGCGGACAGTACAGTAAGGCTCCTACCACCCACCAAAATGGCCGTTTCCCTTTCTCCCGGCAAAATGCTCAGCAATGTAACCATAGCAAAACAAAAGACTTTGAGAAGTGCAAGGCTCAGGAAAGGCAAGAGATCTGCAAGCGTTGTCTAACACGTGGTCACTGAGAACTCTCCTTGGGCGCAAGTGCCGCCAACTGCCTACACCAAAAGCTCTCAAGCAGTAAACAAATCCTCGGCGCGCCCACAATGCCAACAAGGGTTCCGTCTGCGATCTAATCATTCTTCTGGCCGCTAGCCCAACCCTTGCTTTAGTTCACGGTCTCTGTTCCGGTTCACAACTCTCGGGGCGTGTCCGCCTCCAACCAGAAAAGGGCAGCGATGCAGTCAGACTTCAGCCAAGGTGTTGAGTGAACAATAGGATCCATTGAAGTGTTTCTCTTATCATTAGAATCAGCCATCTCAGATCGTGACTGAAAGACAAGCAACTACCGTGCAATAAGAGCAAAGGCATGGCAGTCTGTGCCTCATCTACAGCAAACCGTCGATGCCGTTCACGGCTTTCTCCAGCTTAGCCGACAAGATGGGGCGCTGGGCTCCGTTTTCAATCAAAAGACTTGCTGGGGAGCTTGCTGGGTAAGACTGCATGGCAACTTGGAGGCCCACGTGCGCAAGAGCAGGGTTTACTGCACAGACTTCTAACCCCTACCTCTCTGCCTCAAGGATAGGACTCGTTGGCTTTTCGATAACAAGCAGGAAAGCGAGGGACACTTTCAAAGGGAGCCAACAAGATGCCACTTGGACGGATCCAACTCCATCTTACGCGTCGGTGAACCTCAAAAACCAAAGGTCCCAGCACCTCGGTCTCCCATGTCAAGCTCAAGACAAACCAACCGGTCGGGTCGCATCATTTTGCAAAAGCTGCATGCTCGATGCGCGTCAGTGTAAAGAACAAGTGGATGCAACAAACAAAAGTCATGAGCACATGACCAATCAGCCGGCTTATTGGCCATGTGCTCATGGCCCCCGTTTGCTGCGTGGTATGCCTACAAAAAGCTATACACTGCAGCCAAATGCCCGCCTTTGGCATCCATTTGCTGGCACATACTGGTCAGCTTTAGTCATGTGTGTGCCCGGGCTAACTCGTAGTCAGCCTCCTCAATGGACACAGAGATGTACTTGACGACCTCCGGTTCAGAACCTCTGAAAGCAGGACCAATACGACCAAGTGCCCAGCTTTCCATGCAACACCTTGGCAGAACCGCAGGCAACCTCTCTAGGCAACCTGACCGTGAAGCTCGGCTCAATGGCTCTCGCTTTGCCGGCTCTTTGGGACACGTCAACGACGCCAACCCCAAACACCTGCTTACAGCTCAGTCAAATACCTATGACCTCAAGACCAGAGTGACCTTGGTAATCAAAGGAAACACTTGAAACCATCTGCCCACAAATAACCCCCCGCTGGAAGGTACTGCACAAACAGACACTGCTGGTATGCTGCCGCAGCGTTTCTTCCCAACACACTATCGAAAATCCAAGCTTGGACGCGCACTGTTGTTTCGAGTTCGAAGACCCCGTTCCTTGTAGCGAACGCTTAGACTTGTAGAGCGCAATGTTGACGACGGTCATGGAGGCTTCTCTTGCAGTGAACAGCCGCGGGTCTGAAAGGAATCCTGTTGAATACATCCATGAGTCAAAAAGCTGGTGTTTTTCTTGACCGTCGTGTATCAACACAAGACACGTTGCCCGCTGCCTTTGGCACATTACCCTGTCCCAAGCATTCAGCTGAATGCAGATGCTTGCCAGTGGCCATTTGGAATTGACGGGTGACTGGAAGCATTCTGGCACTACACAACACAACCAAACCGCGTAGTGGATCACTCCGCTATAGTAGCCGCTTGGGGGGAATCGATTTTGCCGGTCGCACTTCAAAGCCTCACTCTGAGCATTGGCCGAAGCCAACTGTCCAGTTCACCTGCTCCTTTAGCACCCCAAGCATGCGCCGTGGGTGCAGCAGATTGGCTCAGTTTCTCGTGCACCCGGCTGAACCCAGACTGAATGGCAGCTGGAGCTCCCTCAGCCATCGACTTGCTGAGACATTCCTCAACTGTGCACCTGGCTGTCTCCACGTTGTAAATGACCCGCAGCTCACAACAGATTCCCGAATTTCAGCGAAAGCGTATGCAGCTGCTTGGACTCACTAGACATTCCTCAGCTGCTCTTGCACCTCCATATTCTGCAGAACCCCACGTTCACCCCATCTACAAGGCTTTCTGAAAGGCGCATGCAAACCCCGGCTTGCAAAATAAAGCATCGTTGGCCTCAGAGTGACCGAACTGCCATCGCACGCTTGCTCTCTAAAGCAAATCCCCATCCTCCAAAACAGGGTCAGAGCGTTATGCAAACCTAAATGCTCCTGGGCGCTAGCGCTGGTGTATCCACAAGCATCGTTCAATCTTGACTCATGATAGGTGCAATTTGCAAGAGAGCTTGAAGGCGGCACATGGCGCATCTGCAGGCACTGACTTGTGACTCGCTTACGCGCGGCAAGCGACTGCTCATTCATCTACTTGCCATCGCGAACTCCCTTGCTCTCATGCGCCCTCCGTTGGCCAAAAGCACAAAGCTCGCCCTCGGTAGGTGAACATGCCAAACACTTGGGCAGGTCATTGACCAGCAAGCCTATCAAGTGTCAGGCCAAAGCCCAAGCTGTGCGCTCTGGCAGTGCAGGGTGCTGGCAACAAGTTGCGCCACCATCTGAAGCGAGGTTTATCCGAAGGGATCAGTCATACCAACTCCAGCTCATCACCTTCACCCTTTGCAACTGTGCAACAAACACCCTTGCTTCGCGCACTCATTTTCTGGAAAACATGCTGAGTGGACACTCCGCAAGCTTCGGCCTTAGGGCAAATTGGGCACCAGGGTACGCACGCGCTCACTGCTCACCAACTCATCACAGGCGTGATTGACACGCATCTTGAGACTCACAAGCCCCAAGTGATTCCTGCGGGCGTCGCAGCACATTGGCTCCCTGCCTAGTCAAGAATGGCAGCAAAAGCATATTCAGCTGCTTGGATGTGCTGGACGTTTCTGAGCTGCTCTTGCATCTGGCTGTTGGCTCCGCCCAAGCCGACCCCAGGTCACAACCGCCGCCATAGCCATGCAAAGCACACGCTGTGATGGTGACAGCCAACTCGGCAAACTGCGCAACTGCAGCCACCACGTCATCTTGCAACCCAGCCTCGTTCGCTGATGGGCCTTTTGGCTGAGAGTGAGATAGAGCAACCATGTCCGCTGGGCAAGTGAACATCCACCTTCATGGCGCAGGAAGGTTCAAAATGGTCGTTTTCAATTGCCAGACACGAATCTAAGACATAACACATGTGACTTGCGGGACCCTTTTTAAATGGCATTGAAAGAGGGCATTTGCAGGGTTTAAATCCTAAGACACGCCCATGCAAAAGAAAGATTCCGCATGGGTTTTGTAACAGATCGTCCCAGCTGTCTAACCAAGCGAGATCAATGCAGCGATTCGTAACCACAACGGCGCCATCGCGCGCATTTGCAACCGGACGTGCAGAAAAGCCGCGAGCGGTTCGTGGCTTTCGTGGTTGCCAAAAACAGAAGTCTGAAGGAACAGTTTCAGAATCACTTTGGGTAACAAAGGTTCCGCTCTCGCAACTTCAGTTAGCGACTGCAACGCAACAACAACAAAAAACAACACGGACCAGATCGGACTCGAACCACCATCGTCATGTGTTCTGCAGATGCGGGCATCCTAATGATGATACTGTTTTGTTTTTGGTCCGTGTTTAATGAATTACACACACAAGCACACACACCAGCACACACACAAGCACACACACACACAAGCACACACACACAAGCACACACAAAAGGAAAACGTGACAAATGCGGCAACTCTTGCAGGAAAATGTGGAACGCAAAAGAAAACCACCTTTCTACCCTTTGGGTCGCATCTTGGCAAGGGTTGGAGCAAACCTAATTAAGCACCTTCCCCTTGTTTGTTCCAAACATGGAGGGGCCCTTTGTCTGGTTTGAGCCAATTGCGCCCAATCCTGCACAGGTGCCGATTCATGCCCAAGCCCACAGGCAGCACTCTCTCTCTGACTCTGTTGTGCACTTGCGCAGACCTCACACTCCGCAGAACACGCCATGCAAGACTAAGGGCGCAAAACTCGAGACAAGAAACAAAGGAACACGGCAAATGGCCGCGGCAAAGAAAAGCGCAGCATAATATAACGGACATAGACACAAAGCCTTGGACCCATTGGACTGTGGCGCTGTTCGTCTTTTTAAGCCGGTAAGGGAAGCACGAGGTGCGCCCGCCAGCAGCTACTTTAACAGCGGCACTGCAGGAGCATGCGGAGACTCGGCAGTGTCCACTGAATCAAGGCATCATGAACATTGCTGGCAAGTGGGCATGCTTCCAAGAACTGAGTAAGGTAAGCATGGTCGAACATGCCGCCTAGGTATGAGTTGGTGGGACATTTCAAACGTACACCAAACTGAGGGATTGCGGGGTCTCCCTAGAAATAAAAGGTTTACAGTGATGCTCCTTTCAAGCCGGGCCAAACGGGTGAGACGTATGTCCAACATAATATGCTGAGGTATCACATAGCACACCTCTCCACAGGCATCACGCCCGCGTTGTTTGCTTCGGCCAGAAGCCAGTGTAGGTGAGATGGTAACCTAGAGCATGACATCGGAAGCCACGGGCAAAGTTGGGGCAGCCAACTGTCAAGGTGCGTTTAAGCTGCGATTGTTTCAACACCATACTCTAAAACCACAGTTGCGGACAGTGCCAATTAACATCCTGGAAAGTCTTCTGAAGATATGCACTGGCCTCCTTTGCAATCTATCCCAAGTTCTTTGAGTTCACAGTACGCTTGTGCTGAAGTCTGGCTGGCGCTGGTGCGACTTGGCTGGCGCAAACTGATCATGCCTTTAACAAGTGTTCTTGGTTGGCGCGGAACGGTTTCTGAGCGAGACAAAGTTTTAAAGCGTAAGCAAAGGAATGAAAAGGAGGACGTGGTACGGAGCAACAGAACCAGCACAAAAAGGACAACACCGTGTAGAAGGGGAAACAGGAACAGGAAAAAAACAACACACCCACACACTTAGTCAGCTCCGAAAGAATCGAAACATGTGCACCGCTAAGCAACGCATTCTTCTGGCAAAGGCGAAAAGCGGGTGGATTGTTCATCAATGCTGAACAAGACGTTGCTCTTGTTGAGACTCGCCGTGCACTTGGCTTGTCTGCACATTCCGTACTGATGCAAAATCTATGCATCGCAAATATTTGGGGGTTGAGCAAAAGGTCCTTTACATGGGATGACCATTGAGGGCAACCACTAAAAAGATGACCTTTCCGACATAGGAAACGCTACCCATGGTCATTTGGGGGCCAGGAATTTTGATCAACGCCTATATCAATATACCAGACATGACAAGGACTCCTGATCCAAGGGGGTTGGGACAGGCGCCATCGCAGAGATTCAAAGAGCAGCGAGCAAAACGGCAGCAGCGGTTTTGAGGCTCCGTCATTCAAACATCCGCGAGTCCAAATGGGTAGCCTCAAAGCATATTCGATCCGTGCATCCCTCAATGTGCACTTCTATCCCACCAGTCGAAAGAAAATGGGCTATCGATTCATTCTCATCGTCATATATCGTCATCGTCACTGCTTCATCTAGCACAAGGAGCACAATTCCAATGCCCAAGCAGAAGAGTCTCCCCCTCCCTCACTTCCTGAGACCAACCAGAAGAGTCTCCCCCAACCAGAAGAGTCCCTGACCCCCCACCCCCCACTCACCCCCCCACTCACCCGGCTTCCGCTTCCGCTCAAGCAGCGCCCACCCCGGTGGATGAAGTTGGGATCCTGCCAGTCGTGGGGCAGAGGCGTCTCGCCCAAGACCTTGGGGTCGTAGCCTCGAGCGGCGGAAAACGCCCATGCGGCGCGAGAAAAAGGGAAGCGCCGGTGGAGGAGAAGATTCCCTTAAAGGCATGACCATGTATACCTTTTGCCATGTGAGACATATTTCATCTGACTCTAGTGGTTTGCTGCTTTGCTCCAATGATCAGCCCATTCAATGACCTTTTGATCAAGCCCCTGGTATTGCGCGCCTAGCGCGCCTATGAATCGTGGAAAGGCTCCGCAAACCCACCCAGGCTGCGAAGCCTCGCGACGCCTCCTCGACGCACGTGCTTTATTGAACACACAACTCATGCATGTTTTATTACTATGTTTGTATTACGTGTGTATATATATATATATGTCCGACAACATGCAAGTCTTTAAATGCTTACCGGTATGATACATTTGCTCTTCGCTTGGCCTTAGATGTTCTAGCGTTGTCGGTTGCGGGGCCCTATCACTCTACGGTGTCTGCAACTCCCGCCTGAAAGTCGCCACCTCCAAATAATAGTACACAAAACACAACATGCGCTATTGCGTTTGCTCAGTACAAATTCAGGGCACAGGGTGCACACTTGCCATCTCTGGCTCAGAAAGCTCAACTTTGCCCAGGTTCGGAAGTCACAACTGTTCAATGCAGCAACGAAAGATGCACGGTCGCAGCCTCGGCTAGCAACATGCTATCATACAAGACCAAGAGAAGATGCTTCTTTGATCTCGTTGTCTTCCGAGTTATTTCTCTGTATTTCCATAACTTTCCTGTAGTATTCCCGTGGTCTGTACTGTTTGCATAGTCTGTTGATCATAGCCTTATTGTAGCTCTCTGCGCAGTGTGGTCTACTCGACACTGAGTGGGCCAAAGGCTTGCTGGCGTGACAGTTCTTGACATTGGGTAACCGGTTGGCCAGCGATTTTTTTACTGGCTGGGTCGACAACTGGTCAAGAAAAGTGCTCCAGATCAAATGCAAAAGGCTCACCTGCTATCTTGGCCTACCTCTTTTCGATTTCGAGCAGGAGGGCACGGCTTTTTGACAGTATAGAAAGCAACACCAAAACAACAGCGACTCGAGCCCACTTCTACACTTATCCTAGTCTGAGCTTGTGTTGGTCGACTTTCCTGATTTTCGATGTATGATGGTTTCGCGTTGTTCTAGATTATGAGAAGTGTGCCTGGCATGCTTCTACATAACAAACATGCATCAAACATGCGTAGGCTAGCATAGGCGAACTTTCTCTCTTGCACCGCGGCGACCTGGGGATGCTATTATAAATCAGAACAAACAAACGTAATTCAGAACCCTGCGACTGCTTGAAGGGTCGCTTTGCTACAACGTATTCTTGCCGGAAAACGATCCGGGCAACTAAAGTCGCGAAACTTAGAATTGGCAATAAAGTAAGTACTAGCAAGTCGAAGTCGAACCGACCTCCCAGACATTACTAGCAGTAGTAGTAGTAGTAGTAGTAGTAGTAGTAGTAGTAGTAGTACGTAGTGGCGGAATGCCAGGCGGCACCAACAAGATCGGCAAGGCTTTGCGTCACTGAAGATTGCTAAAAGCCAAACTCCACGCAGTCATTCCTATCAGAACTGGGAAGTCCAAGCTGCCCAATGCTTCACATGAAGGACAAGCGGCACAGACACACAAGCACGCACAAACAAGGAAGCACAAAAGCACAAGGAAACACAGAAAAGCCAAGGAGAAAAGCAACGAAATAACTTTAACACCAAGGACAACACAAAAGAAAAAAGTCAAACTAGGAAACTAAGAAACAAACAAAACAACTATGACAAGAACGCCAGCAAGAAAACCAGAACACACACACACACACACACACACACACACACGCACGCACGCACGCACGCACGCACGCTCGCACACACAAACACACATCTTGAATAGTATGTAGCTGCCAAGCTGCAAGTGACCACCTCTTCATCCAGGCCTCACTGTGCGCCCATCCGACTTGCTGCTTGGCCACACACCTTTCTAAAGTGTTCTTGAATGGCATGCCGGTGGGACGCCCAAAGATAGGAACTACCTCGAAACACATTTGACACCCGAGTCATCCGCCATTCACTACCTTGGACATAAACCCAAGAGATGCACGTGGAGTCACTGGCATCAACGAGGGACCCAACGTGATGACCAACGGCCCGCTGATCTCTGACAGAGCTGCCATTCCAGCTGATGGAAATCTCGAAACGGCTGAAGTCATTCAGATCCAGAAAGCATCTTACACTTGATTCCATGGTTGCAAGGCAAGACGAAGAGGCAAAACCGCAATCAAGGTTGCTACGCCAAGCTTTAGCTGAAGGCTGCGTCTCACCGGTAGGCTTCACCCTCTGGACGCTACATTTGGATGGCACTGAAAGAGGGACCGCAAGAAAACCAGCCGTGTGTTGATCAAGCTTCCTGTATCCCGAAGCCATTCTTCATGAGAAAGCTAGCTAGGGCGAATCTTTGGCAACATGGCCGCTTGCTCTGGCTGGACAGTCGCGTAACTTTGCGCTCCCACAGCTCTCAGACTGGAAGGAGCTGCGAAAGCCAAGAGTACAAAACAGCGGAAAGCGGGTATCACATGGTAAGTTCACTAGGCTTTTGCACCTCAAAGGGCCCCAAAAAGGAAGCTCGGGAAACATGTCCACGAAACGGACACCGACTTAAAGATAACAGATGGAGAGAACCACATGATTTGTTACACAAAGCAAGGAGTATTTTTGCAACTCCATCGCGGCTCTTGTAAGATATACTTGAACCACACCTAAGGTGGCAGAATCATTGACCCATTGGGCGTTTGAGTTGGGGAGTGTGGGCATTGCCGGCGCCAGCGGTGCTGAGATGATCGAACAAGTTACAAAGCGAACAAGGTCCTAGCAAATCATCTGAGAAGTCAACAAAGCCATTTACACCTGCACCCACTCATCTGACTGCCCCCCTCGGCCAGCTTGTCAACAGCTATGCTCAAGGTTCACAGTGCCCCAACTGACGTAGGAACTTAGCGAGTGATCCCTCTTTTCTCTCTCTCATATAGCATGCCGCATGCCTCATGTCGTCTCTTCATAGATCCCCAGCTGCATGCGGTCTGGTGGATGCCCCCTGTCCCGGGATTTGGCCTTCTGCCCCGCGGCTTGTGGCGTCCAAGGCGCTGTATTCGCGGGCGAAGCGCACTGTGCCATCCTTGGGGAGCAGCGGTTGCAGCTGTCGCAGGGTGATCTTGCCAAAGGGATTCTCCAGGTGCAGATTGCTCACGTCCTGACGTGGCAGGCTTTAGGCTGGTGGGCGCTCTGGGAACTTCAACACCAGGCAACCCAGGAGAAAGACTCAGAGGCCCGGTTTTGCAGGGTCAAAGGTTACGTGCAGCCTGGTTTGACCCGTGTACCTTGGACGGGGTGAGGTGTGATGTCAGCATCTGAAACAGAAGCCAGCTGTATTAAAAGCGGCTTCCACGCAACAGGTCCAACTTTGCTTGCACTACAAGGGTTGTGCAAGGAAGACACGGAACTGACTTTTGCGAGCTGCCTGTGCCAAGCTACTTTGCCTGAGACTGAAATATGCAGAAATCAAGGCAGTTCCATGCGTTTACAAAGAAGACGCAGCTCATGTAGGGAAGCCATGGTGGACAAACCAGGAACGAATCACTACTGGACAATTGATACTTGGTCATACTGCCCAACATGGGCCATGAAAAAAGTCCAAGCTTTCCGGGTGCAAGACTCATGGACTTCAAAGACCTGACCCAACACGTGTTTAAAGGATCTCTGCTTTTCCTCCAAATAAGCTCAACATAAAATTAGGCAGAACTATATTAGCAGGACATTTGGAAGATTTGGCACATTTCAGAAGTCCCTTCCGGACCAAAAAACCATCTCCTATCAGCCAAACCGAACTTTTTAATTGTTGGTCACCTAAACTTCTTAAGTCACATTCTCTTCAGTGCTTGCCAAGGAACCACCACAAACGGTGGAGGGATGTGATCCCCAACAACCTCGCACTTGACCTTGGCTGGAAAGCTCACAGGCCGAACTTCCTAAGCGAAGCAAACGTGTGCGTTGGCACGCTGTATGTTGTGCTTCAGCGCATGTTAGCATGTTAGCGTTTGTGTACATCATCATAGTGAGGTGCAGCAATCTAGAATATCAACGGGGGCCAGCCTCTTTGTTGTGATTCGTGTCGCTCTGCTGAAGCAAGTATTTGCTTGCTCGCAAGGGCAGTACTGCCATTGAGCCTTAGCGTGAACCTGTGCTGATGCGAGCCTCATGTGACTTGGCCCCAGAACAAGATTATCATGGCTGCTTGCGGGCATGAGGTTGGAGGGGTTACTTGTGCCAGGTAAGATTAGCTTGAGACTTCGCGTCACTGCCAGCATCTATGTTATCCCAGTTTTCCGCACACCAGGCAGCATGCCACAAACTCCTTGAAAGGCCCAGAGCTACCGTGAACTCCCCAAGCAAATGCCCTGGTAGCAGCACCACCCGTTGCAAATGTTGAAGCTTTTGTCCTTTAGGCCGTTGCCCATCGCCAGGTATCCAAATCAAGGAATGTCCACAAAGAGTTGGCCGTCCTCCAGCGTCGTTTCAAGATTCCTCGTAAAGTAGCCCCTTATCCTAAGATATGTCTGTAAGTGAGCTTCGCCCATGCAGACCATGCATGCCCGCGTAGAACGCGGGGCTCCATGTTCCCATGCCTGGGTTCTTGAAGTGTTCCATCTTCTAGATGTTGGACATGACAGGGGGGGGAATTTGATTTGCCTTATGAAAACTCTGCCCACATTCAAACAAAATAGCTCCAAATCAACGTGAATTGGTCCAAATCAGTGTGCTGCCCTGAACCGATACTAGAATGCTCCGGAAAATGTCATATGGTGTCTCCAATTGAACTTGCAACGACATCCCAGCATGGCCGGCCCTTCTTGGACAAGAATGACCACACCCACCCCCTCAACCCCCCACCACAGGTGAACGAACACTTGGCACACCCAACGAGGAAGTCAAGGAACAGAAATAGAGGAACCATAAAGTGGAAGGCAAACGTGTGAAACACCACACATACGTAGCATGATATATCCGCCGGCTCCAAAAAGTAGAAGAGCGCAGAAAGGTCTTGGTACTTCTTCAGCATTCAACAGCATTCAAAAATGTTTCTTTACAATCCGTGCTCATAGCGCGGCTGCGGGGGCTCGCTCCAGTCTTCAGCGTTTTCGCGGGGATTCACTCTCAAAAACCAGGGCCCCTATGATAATTTCCTCAAAACAGGGTCTTGTCAACGAGCCCGTTTTTCATTTGGGCTTGTCTCAAAATAGGGGCTGAAAAATTGGCGTTGTTCCTCGTGCTTCCCTTTGAAACTACCCCTTACAAAGGGCGCCATAAAAAGACACGGCCATTTCTTCGAGGCCGCCGTGGGCAGGCCGATCTCCACCTGGCCGCCCTTGCGGTACCCAGGGCAGCCCCAAAGCCCCGAGATGGAGACGGGAATGGGCACCACGGTCCTCGTACAAACAAAAAACAACACACAAGCAGCTGTGGCATTTTGGTATTCTGGTATGTTGGTATATGTTGTTTTTTGGCGAATTTTGGTGTTTTCGGTGAATTTTGGTGTTTTGGTGTTTTTAGTATTCTTTGCTCACTTGTTTGTTGTGGTGCTTTGGTGTTTTACCCACTTCCTTGTGGTATGTGTGCTAAGATTATTCTTTGTGATCCTTCTTTGATGGTGTGCTGCCACTTTCCACGGAGCCCATCCTGGGTCGGCCTTGGGGCAGGGTGCAGGAGGGTTCCAGGCTCGCTGCCGGGAGTAAGTGTGGCAACTTTAGGAAATTCCATTGGCTGTTGTTTGCGTTGCCCACTTTCTGGCAGCGTGCCAGAAATGGTGTGTTTTTGTTCTCCTGGGGCTGACGTTTCTGGAGTCGTTCTCTTGACGGGAATTGGAACTGATTGATGCGATGTCAATCCCCTGAAAAGGAATCTGGTTGTCAAGAAGTGATCTATTTTCAGGGGATTCCTCGCAGTCCTCTTGAGAAACATGGGATAGTACCGTCATGATTGCCTTGGCGGGCACAGGCCGTCACCTGCTCGTTTAGTGGTCATGCGAGAAAAGGGGAACCTCTCTTGGCTTTTCTGCCAGCGGGGAACCGCCTGCGAAGCGGGTTTGCCACACCTCTGGGTCACACATTCCAAGTGAAATGGCAAGCATCATCTTGCCAGGGATGTGCCGCTCGAAGCGCACAAACATCAGCTCCTGCGGCACAGGCTGATGCACAAATGCCCGCATGAAGTCATTGACTTATCCAAATAAGCTGTTCAAGCTTGGCTCGGGGCTTAGAAGTGTCTTTGGGATCGCTTAGGTCCAATTCAAGCTTGGCCAGCTTGTGCGCCGCAGAAGCTTCGCGTTGCGTGGCGTCTTGACAATTGACAACAGCTGCATTGGCAACAAACAACGACCTCTGCTGGCATGAAAGTCATGCATGACACTTCCAACAGAAACTCCGCCTGGTCGACAGGGTGGGTGGCGACGTCTTTCACGATGCACTCCTCCTGAGCACGACTACCGAGTACCAAATAACACTGCCAAACCTCCCAGTCTAGTGGTATATAGATTAGCCGGCGGTTGATCACATTCCTGCTTCCGGAAACGACCGTCTTCGCCAGGACATCTCTTTCGCGAGCCTTTCGCGACTCCATGCGACTCCATTGCCACGCCCTTTTGTTTGCAGCCGGTGCTCTGGAGCAATTCTTGCTGCTGCAGTTAGGCTCGCCATCCCAGGAACCACGCCGCTCACCTGCACTGGCAGGCTTGCAGCGCAAAATTAAAACAGTCACTACACTCAGCCCTTTCCACGTGTGTTTCCCGTGACTGCTCCGTTCTGCGTCAGTGTGCGGGGGCTTGCTTTCGCAGGTCTTTCCGGAAACTTGCTCCAAAATCGTCCGGCGTCTTGTGCTTTGTGCAGTCACCACAGGCACGGAATCAAGAATGCAAGTAAAGGTGCAGCGCATCTCCCTGCCTACCAGGGAGGGTCTGCAAATATGTAAGCGTGCAAGCATGCCTCCAAGAAGCCTTCCCCGAATCTTCCGCGAAAAGAATTTCTCCTTCACAGACTCTTTCGCAGATCTTTCGCGGGCACAAACACCTGCAGCGCTATGTTCCTCTGCAGTATAAGTCTTTGCAAGTTTGATGGACTCCCATGTGTCCAAACCATGGTTTCTTTCACCGCATACTCCCAGAAATTCGCCTCGGCAACCAGGGCCGGGAAGCGGTCAGACCCCTTCAGAACTTCCATAAAATTGGTCAGAACCCCCGCCCCCACCCGACCCCATGTCGCGCGGCCAAAATCCCTGCTCCAGCTGCCTCCAGTCCGCCTGAAGTGAGCCTGGAAGCAGCCGGCCTCCAGGGCCGGGAGGTCAGATCCCTTCAACTTCAGGCAGATTCTCCCTGATCCAACCCCACACGTGCCTCCAAAAACCTATCCAATCCCCTTAAAAACGATCAAATCCCCTTTAACCGTAGAAACTGGTCAAATCCCCTTCTAGAAGCCCAACTTCCCATCTAGCTCCGGTTAAATGTCGCTGGAAGCCGGTCAACTTCCTCCCCGCGAGAAGAAGCAAGCAAATCAGACAATCCAGCAGGTAGGCGAGGGATCCAATCAGCAGCACAATTTGACAGTCCGGCAAATCAAGGAAGATAGTCGAATACCTCAATAACACATATCAGTGAATCAGAAGATTCTAGATCATGAACATTGAGCAATGGACAATCTTACTTGCATAGTTGGCAATGGTTCAAGCGTTCAAGCGGGGGCTGATCACGTGTGGCTGATACCAACTCAGCACATGTGGCCGTCCCGTTCTGTGATGCTGCTCGCTGGGCGCCCGGCGATCCATCTTCCGACGTGGAGTCCTGAGCACGATGGGCTTGATACACATGTATAAATGCGGCATGCCTAGACCCTCCAGCCCAAGTTGATATCATATGTCTCAGCGCGAACACTAACCACTAAAGCCTAGCTGTTTGTGATGCAGCCAGGACTACTCATGCCAGCTCAGTTGTTCTAACCCCAACCTGTGGATTTGCCCTTCCCTGCAAGTCTCAAACCAAGCACCGGCACCCAATGGTTTTGACGCTGCCAATGCAAATGGAGGAGCTGAAAAGTCTACCCTTGAAGAGGTTCGACAGGTGCCCCTGCTCCTCGTCAAAGGCAATCCTCGGAAGCCGGCTGGCAGGACCTCCATGCCAAATCCCCATGAGACAGAGCGCAAATGTTGGAATTCCTCGTAGTTTCAAGCTTGAATCATCAAACAGCCTCGACACAATGATCTAGCTCTGCAGCTTGCTGGAGGGGTCATAGGAGGTGCGCTCGAGTGACAAGCTAAATGGACCACTTCCAAGTCAAATATGTCGAACAAGTGAAGCAAAGTCTGCTTCGCCAACCATCGCTCCGATTGATCACGTCAAACCGCTTCTCAACCGTGGCTACGTTTCTACATCTTCGCCCGCGATGCATATGACTTGATCTCCTCTCACCTGAAGGCTTGTTGAAGCCCGGGCAACGAGCTGCCAGCAGTCCAAGAAGGTCGCAATGCTTAGATAGCGCAAACAAGGAAGCCCCATAACAAAACCCGCGCTATTAATTGTTCAGGCGTGAGGTCACTACGGGTTTTGCGCGCAAAGCCAACCAACCAAGCAACCAAGCAAGCAACCAACCAACCAAACAACCAAACAACCAAACAACCTAACCAAACAACCCAAGCAAGCAAGAAAGCAACCAAGCCAAAAAGCAAGCACAACAAGCAAACGCGTGGACACACAAACTGTCTTGCAGCTCCCTGTTCGCCTCTAGGCTTGGCTCGAACACCCTAGGTCCTGCCCAGGGCCACCGAACCACACATGCCAAGACGCTTCTCCATCTCAGCCTTGTTGAAGGTGACCTTCCGGTTGGGCCCGTACTTGCAAATCACACCAGGCAGCAGGCCGTTTTCTAGGAGGTACTCCTCTCGTGCGCGTGCCGAGGTGTTCCATTGAATGTGCTGGTCTGGATGGCACTTCATCAAAACTGCAAAAAAAAAAAAAAAAACTAAAACATATCCCATACCTCTTTCCTGGGGGCCTTACCACATCTCCTTAGCAATGAGAACGTGTGCAAACTTTCAGGAGTTCACCGTCCAAGGTATTATAGCTCTGGGCCAGAGGCACGGAAAGGAAATCCAGCACTGCGAGTCTGCTCGCCGCTCCTTCATGGTGAACCGAGGCCACGGATCCGCACGCATGTGGACAGTGGAGTCCCTCTCCACGGAATTCCGGAAGTATCCCACCATCTCCTTCCTGGGTATGCAGGTTGATCAATATTTCTTGCATGGGTAATTCTCTGCATTTAGCAGGGACATATCATATTTTGAGTGGCTTCCCCCAATGGTCATCCCATGTAAAGGACCTTTGGTCAGCCCCCATCTGAATGCTGTCAGTGAACAACATGAACTAAGCTGTCACCGCACTCTGACAACCTCAAGCCAACAAAACTGTGAACGAGTTCGTGCTTCACACTCTTCAAGGTGGCAGCGCAATCTTGGCCCACAATGGTCTTAAGCAGCGTCCAAGCACTGATCAGAACATGAGCCTGTTTGTTGGGCATCCGCAAACCTCTCATATCCATGACGAGCCACAAGCCATCAAATGGCAAGCGGAACTCTTTTCACCCGCGGTGGAGGCCAATTTGTTGAGTCAGCGTGGCCAGTCCCAATCCCCAACAAACAACCATAGCCCTACAAACTCAAGCACACCAAACGTCCGGGGGAACCCTACACTGAGTCTGACTCCAATTGTATCGATGCTGCCCAAGGCACTTGAGGAATCCCCACGTCTCTTTCTGCAGCTCTCGCTGCCATGGGTATGCTACCTGAGGCGTTAGGCGTGGGAGAGGAGGGATGGGATAGATACAATCAAAGAACAACTGGGCGTTGCTCCGCCATGCGACTGAGAACAACACGATAAATTGTATGATCTACACTCAGTAAGAAGCAATTTGCGCCACATGAGAAAGGACAAACGTAGGATCAAAGCCTGCAAACATCAGCAGTATCGTCAGAATATACGCCAACCGTTTATTATAGTCGTTGCCATTGTGCAAAGCTCGTTTGATCTCTCCAAAGGACAGCATGACAAAACACACACGCTGACAGAAATTGGATGCCATAAACGACATGAAACAAAGGCTCGCCTTGGAACCTCCACTAAACATAAGCAAGATTGGGCAACCAAAGGGTTGAAAGAGCGGCTTGCAAGAAAACCACTCCATTCCCGCAGTGGCAAGCCGAATCAGCAAATACTGCTGGGATGTTCCTGGCCCGAAATAAGACGAAGGTGGTTGAGCGACCAAACCACGCTGGCTGAGCCTTACACTTTGCGTTCGAGCACATTCGCAGGTTGGTTTGCCACCACATCCTCCATGTGTCCAACTTCTATGCACACATGTGTGCGCGAGTCCAGTGACCTGTTGCTGGAAAGTTCCATGAGTACTTCTGGGCTGCTGATGCCTGCGGCCAACAAAAAGACTGCCTCCGTGCAAATGTCCGTTGCTCAAAGGGACTGCTCAAACAGTTCCAGTTTTGTCCTCACCCTGGATGATGTGTCCCGATTGCACGCCGCCCCTTGATGCATCCAAACTGCTCTTCGTATCCTGTAGGCTGCAAATCCTGCAGGCTCAAAGCGAATGGATCGCCCTACGAGACGCTTCCCGCTGCGTTTCCCCAAGTTCCCCTTCAATGACCAATGACCAATCAACGAGGGCTCCCTGACTTTGGGAAACACCCAACTCCGTAAATGGCTCTGACCCTGAATTAGGCAATTCCATGACCTCGCTTTGCTCCGAGATGAAGGTGCCTTTGCATAAGTTCAAGCATTCAGCTGCTACATGCATGTCTTCTAACGCCCTGGTTCACAAACAAAAAAAAGCAGACATAGAGAAGGTGTCAGACGGTCAAGTGTTTACACACCTGCCAATGCCCCTTGGCGCAGACGGAGACTCACGCAGATAATTATTATAAGGCAGGAGCTTCTACCCACGACACACAGGACTGAGGATCAACCGTGTCTAACACCCCCGCGGAATGTTGGGCAGAGCCTCGGCCAAGCTCACAGAGATGGAGCATCGCCCGAAACGAGACATTGCCGTGAGTTCCCAAAAAAAACACGACATGCGGGACAACAAGAGTTGAGCCCGCGCCAAAAAGGAAGAACAGCGCTGGGCCAAGTTTGACTGTGAAACCTGGCGGCAAGATTTTACTACTCTGGGCCTTCCCAGTGACTATTTCACTGACTCAGATGCCCATCCTTTCTTGGTTGGTTGAGCTTAAAGGGGAACCCTTCCCACACAAAATGCAGACAAATGCGCCACTGGGCAATTGGGCTGATTCACGTGACAATTCAAGGAGGTACCATAATTTGTCCCATCAAATCACAGAAAGTCTCCAGCGAGGTTCTTGCTAGGGCAAAGGATCAAGGCCTGGTAAACAAATGGCACACCGCATGGCTTCTATGGGAAACAACAGAACAAAGCATCCTTTGTTTGATTGAATTCAAAGGCAACATCCATTAACTTGGTTGCTGTTGACCCCCGTGCAAAAAGTTTAACTTTTTGGGGGGTTTAGTGGAAAACCCCTTGATTTCCCAAAAAGCTAAAGTCTAAAAACCCCCAACCCAACAGCAGTCAAGCTAACAACAAGGCGCCCAGAGCCACTGAATCACCGAGCTCCTCTGCATCCTCTGCTCAGCGGAAGGCGCCGACATGTTTGCATGGCTTCTTCGCCCCAGCTGACTTCAAGTGAACGGCCTGAGGGTCCCTTGAGACGGTGGTCCCTTGGTCTTGGCGGCCTTTTCCGGCTCGATGCCTTTCTGACTTGTCTCAAATGTCCGAGGATTTTATTCACAAACACAAGCCGGCTGGCAACTGCTGTCAACATGCGTGATGTCGATCCAAAGATTCCCATTGATCCATGTCATGAATAGACAGCTCCAACCTGGTCCCGCCTTTGAATGGCCCGAGACAAGTTGGCTACTACAAGCTGGCTGCAACACACCTCGCTGGCCGTGAAAGTTGCGCCATGAGGCTGAGATTCGCTTAAGCCGTGTGTCTCCGGCGAATGCAACTCCTGTGCACTTGTCTTGGCGAAGCTGCTGCACGCATTGCTATTATTGGTACTGGCGAACACAGCAGTACACATGAGCAAACACTGTGCCGCTTTTCTCACCATCTGTGGGATCTAGAACTTCAATAATTACTCATGCCCTGGTGCTTTGCACATGTTGAGAGAGCCCCGAATTCGCCGATGCAATTTAGGATGTGTCAAGCTCTCCACGCATCACGGACAACCCAAACAGGAAACACAATTTGTTTGGAGTTTTGGCGCTGTCTTGTACATCGATCGAGCTGTTGGTCCTGTTCGCCGAGCAACCCTTGCAGACCATCCAAAGCCTTGCAGACCGATCCCGTCGCTTCCGATGGGTCAGAACTTCCCATTTCAGCCTGAGTCAGTCCCAGGTGCGAGTGGGAAACAGGCCCATCTCGGGGGCAAACACGAATCTGGACGGGAAGCCCACGAATGCAACAGGCAAATGCCAAACAGACACTATGACAGAGACAGTCATTATGGCTGACTCGGAGAAACTCCAACGCGAGCCATGCAAATCCACCTTGCAGATCCTTTGCTTTCGGCAACGTATGCTTGGCCAGCAAGACTTCCACACAAGGGCACTAAACACCATGTTACGTGCCGGGAAAACAACGAGGCTTCCTCAAGGAAGAGTTGGTAACAAGCTCGGTTGAATGCATATGTCATGCGAGATCTGGATGCATATGGGAGACCTCGAAGAAACAAATATCGAGATTGACCAGGGACAAACAAGTCGAATCTCACCTTTGTTTGAAGCATGTCGTCAGGGCGTGGGTAGCAAGTCATGATGATGAACGCCTCTGTACGAAGGGCTAATGAAAGGAATTGCTCCTGCTGCAACTGTTGCCCTTCCTCCGACTGACGTGGCACTTGTGGGAGGGTACCCGGAAGATCGGATTCCTCTTGGAGGCATGTTAGTGGGAGAGAGGGCATGCAGTTTTCCTCTTGGCAAAATCTCGGCGCATCTCGGCGCACAGCGGCTTTGGACCGACGCTCCGCAACCTTTCGGCCACAGCTCGTGGAAAGCGGATGGCGCTCAGCAGCTGCAGGCGCAGGCTGCGCTGAAGATGCGGTTCCCCGCGAGGCCGCTGACGTGCATGTCTGGGCACTCGTGACTCAATGGGCCCACCTCCACCAGCTGCAGCTCATCGTTGTTGCTGGCGCTGGGCTCTGTCCTCGGGCAAGTATGGGACAAAGAACACGCCTTCACAACCCTTGGCATCGTAGCAAACAGTGGTTTGCTTTTTGCAGCCCCCTACTACAATTGAAGAGAACTAAAAGACAACAAACACTTGCAAAGAACAGTGAAGACTCTATGTTCTGCAAAAACCCAAATGTGAACGGCCCTACAAGTCTGGTAAGTGATGCTACAACATTGAGTCCTTTTGTCAGGCCGAGAGATTCGTACACAGTGACCATTTGAAGGATTGCGATGTGCAAGCGCGTCACTTTAGAATGAGGATGCTTGCAATCCGTTCCAGTTTGTGGCAAGCTGGCAGTGCAGGGCAAGAACTCCGCTCTTTGGTTAAAAAAACAAAACAAGTTGCTGGCATCCAAGCTTCATGCATTGGCCTTCCGGAATCTGCTTTTCATACATGCCCTGCCCTGCCGGACAAGCACGAGTGTACTCATACTTGATGCATTCACTCTTATACTCCTGAGTGTGAGTCGTCCACCGTTTGGTTCTGTATCTCGGTCGGCAGGTCGTAACCTTGCCAACTCGGGTGCAAGTTGAGCCGGCACGAACCCTCTTGCTGTGGGAGTGTGACTTGACAAACTCCACCATCTTCTGCTGAACACACCTCCGGCTCCACTGATCCATCTTCGCCCAGTTGAACATCATCTCCGATTCGTTTGCCTCTGTTTTAGGATGGTCAACTGCTTGTGCATCCGGTGCAGAGATGGTTGTCGGCATCTTCTCCTCTCGCTGATCACTTTGGAAGGTGAGTATATTATACCGCATCGAAACGCTCCCCGTCCAATGACCATGCTCTGAACGCCGTGTGTAGATTCCTGCGCGGGTGTGTCAGAAGCTAAGGATCCCAAGCAAAGGCATCAAATCAGTGGTGAAGGCGGCAAAATTATCTGCATGCTGGTCGGCCGTGCGTTGCAGCAGTTCTGCGCTAACTCGGAGCAAAACAAGCCAAAGCTGGACCAAAACAACACAATAGCATTTGGACAGCATTTGGGCCACGAACTGCGACCAGTCCAGTGACCGTGGTCTGAACTGTGCATGTACATTCCTGCGCATTTACACATCGGCGTGCGCCACCTAACAACGGCAAATCAATTTGACAAAGCCATGGGGATAAGTTCTTCCCAGCAGTAGTCCACAAGAAAGCACCCGCCTTCCACAAAGTATGTGGCAACGTCGACTGGAGCCCCATCCACTGCCATGCACTTCCGCGCCGGCTTGATGAGGGACTCTTGGCAACAACCTATGCAAAACAGGTCATGTCCAACGATTGGTGCCGAAGTAATTTCGCAATGAACACTGTCAAACTTGTCAAGCCATTGTGCTTTGCCTGAACAAAGCGGCGGATGTGAGCCGTCACTAAATCCCGGGTCTAAAAACATGCCAGATCATGCCTGTCATGCCTGTCAAGAAATACAGTATGCAATGATTACCTCAGCAAAACGCAAACACGGGCCTTGTCCCAGCATAATTGGAAGCAGGATGGGTGACAAGCGTGAGACAGCCAGTTCCACAACAGCTCTCAGAAAGTGGCAGTCGCCGCAGCCAGAATGCGGCAGCTGTCTGCCGCACCCTAATTACAAGGACAAACTTTGGGCCGCTACAAGACAAGGGCAGCCGCCGCAGCATCCCTTGCCAAGCGAGGAAAACTGACAGATTTCTGCACTTCGTGAACAGAGCTGGTTGAAACAGCCAGAATAGCCAGGTGTCTGCGCCAGTCCACAGCCAAAGTCAAACAACAGGGGTTTCGTGCCATATCCAGCACGAAACACTCTGGAGATATCGGCGTGCAGAGAAGACTACGTGATGGGTGCAATAAACTCCGGATGCAACAGCGGGATCTCCGCTCTGTTCATCGGACACGTTGGGCAAAAGAGAGTTTGACAGGCTGAAGGACTGGTTTTGCGCTGTGTTTGCGCGCGGTCCTTTCTGAAGGATACATCCTGTCTGCCTTCTGTTTTTGTCTATCTCTCCCTCTCTCTCTCTCTCTCTCTTGTTAAAATCGAACTGTTGTTTACTACAAGTGCCAGCGCTGTTCTGTTGCTAACACAACCAGTCCAACCTGTAGTCGCTTCTTTACATGGGCTCATGTAGTGATCAGCTCAAGACCTACCGTCGTGTACAAGCTATGTAGTACCACACCACATGTACATTGACACGGACCCTCAGCTGTAGTGGTCTTGTAGTATCTTACAACTGTAGCTTTAAAAAGGATTGACAGTAGTGATGAAAGCACTGCTGTTCATCAATGCTACTCTAGTATGTACCAAGTCGCCGACTGTTCAGGCTTGGCAGTCAACCTGAGTGCCGAAGTTGGTGTAGATCAACAAGGTGTAGTTCCCGAAGAACTTCATGTCGAGCGCTCTCGAAAGTAGTTCCTCTGTAGGACAATCATGTCCTCCAATGCTTGGCGGATGCATCATTGAGGTAGTCGTGAAACTCCTGTCCGCCTCCCCGGGTCACGTTGTTGTCTTTTACCGGATTCACTGGCATAGTGATGGGTAGTTGTCGTAAGGTTCGAAGTAGTAGTCGATGAAACTCTAATGAGGATGCGTCTTGTAGCGGGCTCGAGTGTGATGAGCAAGTGGTAGTCCCAAATTTAGCCATTGGGCAGTGTGTTGCGCAGGGTGAACTTGCTGAGAAGTTGATGTAGGTGAGCCGCGCGCCTGGTAGTAGTTGAGTCGAAGGTGTAGTTGCGCGTGATGGATGTAGAATGATTGATGTAGTCCCTAATGAAATAATCCAGGGAGTTGTGAGCAGTTGGTGGATATAGCAGCAGCAGCAGCAGCAGCAGCAGTAGTAAATAGTAGTAAAAACAAACGTGCTCGTTTCTCCTTTGTTCTGCCTTATCGCTTCACAGGCGTTCCACACACACACACACCTCCCGTCCGGATGAAGCCTTACATCAAGGCGCGGGGTTTTTGATACCTTTCTCATGTGGACCACAGTCCCAAAGTCAAGTCGTCCCCTTTGCCACCAAGCCACACTGCCTGTCGCTAGACTTGCGAAGCAGGCAGGTGCCATCAGCTCTGGGGACATTCCTCAAGCCGCGGTTGCAGAACAAGCGCCTCCCGTTGTGGATGTACGCAGAATTGCTGCGCTCAGCAGCATAACGATCTGGCTGGTCCAGCTGCAAGCGGGCAAACTCCTGGAAAAACCACACCAATCAGCAACCAAGCAACGAGTCAGCCAAGCCAGCCAGCCAGCAAGCACGGTAGGCATTCAAGCAAACAAAGCAAGAAAGCGAGCAGGAAAGCAAGCAAGCAAACAATCAAGCGAGACAGCAGGCCAGCAAGAGCGCACAAACGCACAAGCCTACAAATACAACGACAAGAACAGACACACGCAAACAGAAGACAAGGCTGGACAAAACAAGACAGGATAGACAGGCAGCCGGTCAGGCAAACAAACACAGAGCCAAACAGAATCAAAGACGGACAAACGCCGACAAACACTAACAGAAGCTGGCAAACACT